AATACTAGGGAGGTATGCACACCTCAAAACAACAAACCATTTGAGATCAAAGGAGAGCATTTATCCAAGGACAAAGTTCAGAAGGGTGGGGAAGGAAGAGGAATGGAAACAGGAAATATGAGGAGTAAGTGAGATAAATGATACTACATTATAGAAATTGCAATTAGTGGTATGAAACAAAATATGTATGGATTGTTGAATGGAAAACTGATTTTCTTTGTAACCCTTCACCAAATCCACAATAAAAAGTCTTGGGAATGAAAAAGGAGTTATCTTCCTTATTCTTTCCTTCTCTTTGCCTCCCTTCTCTGTAAATCCTTGAGGTCAGGATCTATATCTAAGATAATTCTACAGATCTGAAATGCAGTGCTACTTGCCGACAGGGTAGGTGAATTCCTCTCTCAAGGTAAGATCAGGACACATATTATTCAGAGAGAATCCAGGAGTCATGGCAGCCTGGTTCCAGCAAATTCATCTTTACAACTTCTACTACCAGCTTCTGGAGTCACTGGTACCAACCCCTCATCCTCCCCAAACCCCTATTACATTTCATGATTCTCCTGCTGAATTCCTAGTGTTTCAGAAGATGTTTTGGACCCAAGGCCTTTGTACAGGAGGTGGTACTCATCTGAAGATGGAGAAATAAAAGGCTACCAGCCTAACCCTCTTTGACCATGGCTCACCCTTTTACAAGCATACTTTTTTTTTATTTTATTCATTTATTTATTTTTAATCATTTTATTAGGGGCTCATACAACTCATCACAATCCATACATACATCAATTGTGTAAAGCACATTTGTATATTCATTGTCATCATACTCAAAACATTTCCTCTCCACTTATGCCCCCGGCATTAGGTCCTCCTCACCATCCATTTTATAACCCTTGCTCTTCCCGTCCCTGTCATTATTGGCTCACCACCACCAACCTCCTTCCGTCCCATGCTCCCCCACCGCCAGAACCATATATATGTCCTGTTGCTGTTTCCATGGGGTTGCTTATCCTGTCTCTCATATAAACAAACACACGTCTCCGTCTTTATTAGAAATTGCTTGAAGCATCTTCATCAAACTTGCTAATTTCTGCAAATATAATTTAAATAACTTATATTTAAATATGCCCTCCCCACAGCACTGTCAGCAGTTCCTTCCTTCAACCGTTACGATGCAATGTGCAATGTTAATTCCTCCGCAGCCTCACACTTGAATTTGGTCAGTGAGATAAGCAAACCTCTTATTGTACATTGTGAGCTCTAGAGGAAATATGTGGAACGTAGAGACAGGAAATTTTGAAATTGATGATGCAGAAAGGGTTATATGAGATTATTTCAAACACTTTGAAGGAAGAGGGTAAGTGTTCAAGACTCTTGATGTCAGGTGTTCTCTGTTATCTTCAGGTGCCACCTGCACTGCGGTAAGGCTGCACAGTTTAACTTCCCTTCAGCGATCACAGAGCAGCTTTGCCTGGTCTGTCATCTCTCAAGTCATCTATTATCTACTAGTCTTCATTATGCCTTTGTCCAGGTGATGTGAAAATGTTCCATGTAAGAAAGCCTAAACGTTACTAAATTTGATCTGAGGAGCGCCCCAATGAAACTATGACTCATTTCAGTTCTTTCAAATAGTCTGTATTCAGTTACGGGGTTGGGGAGGTGGGTGCGGAAGGGGGGGGGGGTGAGTGTGGAGCTGACTAGCTTTTATTCTACCAAGTATTTTTTTCTATTTTCAGGAGTTGAAAAATTAAGTCTATATAAAGTATTATTTTATGTACAGTTGCATTATTCCTATATTGTAATGTTCAGATTAAAAGTATGGTGATTAAGGAGCAAGTACTCAAAAATATGATTACACTCAAAAGAGAATGTATTTCAGCCAACCACGTTTTTCCTTCAGGCTTGATAACTAATTTAGAAGTAAATTCAGCAATGTTCACCACACTTCCTTAGGGAGAGATTCAGCTAATCTTTCAGACAAGAGGTAGTAACTGTGGTGTCTGTTTACAGTCATTGGCTGCAACAGCAGAGATGGAGGTTCTTCTGTAGGAAAAGAAACATTCTGGACACGAGCATGATCCTCATGAGCTTTGTCGTCCTGGGGCTTGACATGAAATGTGTTTCTCTCCATAAGAAAAACTTGGCACAATACCACCATGATCGGGATGGGTAAGAGGCGGCCTGAGGCTCACAGGATATTCTTTGATGTCCACAGTGTCCTGATAAAATACAAGCATTCTTTCAAACGGCCCCTGCTTCTCCACCATCCCACCAGATTTGTCTGTTCACAATGCCAGTATTAAACACAGAATTCGGGCTAATGTCTACAGCAAAGAAAACAACTAGAAAACGATGCAACTAATCAGTTTGAGCAAGCTCCTCATAAGGCTTAGTTGTGCAAAGACAACACATTTAAATTTCACAGCAAGGGTCTTGGTTGGCCAAGGCATAAAGCTTAAGGATGACAAATCATCTTTTAATAAAAACACAACCCATAATCTCATCCTTTAAATACAGAGAAGATGGGTTTCTGGGTAAAGATGTCCATCAGCATGCTCAGCGCACCCATACCAAGAAATGATCAGGTGGCCTTTGGAGCACATTCTCTGACCTTCTCCATGGGGAGGAGCATCTGTTTTTCACAAGTACTGCCAAATGGCGTTTTCCTACTATTTTCGTGGTGAACAGCCTGGATCTCGTGAGTTTTTGTGTTTTGCAGAGATAGCAAAACACAATCTCTGAGCGGTTCCAGCAGGCATGGTTGTGCTGCTGAGGCCTAACCTGCTGTGTGGCATTGCCTACATTTTAGACAGTGTCCATTCAAGTAGCATCTTGAAGAATTATAACCAGTGCTGACTTGTTTGTGAGAGGCTTTCCAACACTCTAGTTGCTACAACATGAAAGTACGAATGCCTTTCACACACAACATGAATGGGTGATGAGTACCATTCAAGCACAGTAACTGTCAACTCACCTTGGTACAGGTTCATCAGTTTCTATGAAGCAGTACAAATGAGCTCTGCCGTCATCCACCTCCTGGGCTTCCTGGTTCTATTGGCAACTGTTCAGCTGTGGAGCCTGCTGCGTCATGACCCCAGGCTTCAGGTCATTGGCAGTGCACTAAGCAAAGCCTGGGACGAGGTGGTGGGATTTTTGCTGACCATTCTGCTCCTGCTGACAGGCTATGCCATGGCTGTAAGCCCACAGTCCCACGGTTCTTTTCCCAAATGCTGTGCTCTTAATTCACAGTGCTGCCCTTAGAAACAGGTTACTGTAGCGAAAACCATCAGTTCAAGTTGACAATGAGTTTGGGAGAAAAGGTAGCGTAAGAAGGCTGGTTTGGATCATGCTTTCGTACTTTACTCGCAGTATTATTTAAATGTAACTATCCTCCTTTTCTCTAAAGTAAGGATAAAACTTAGCTTACAGGATAATGTGCAGGTCAAATAAATTTATATGGGAGCACCAAGAAATGACAAAGGAAATCTGTGTAGATTGAAGAAAAACCCCAAAAACACCTGCCATCAATTCAATTCTGACTCATAGTGACCCTATAGGATAGAACTGCCCCTGTGAGTTTCAGAGGCTGTAACTCTTTAAAGTACTAGACAGTCCATCTTTCTCGGGAGCCACTGGTGGTTTCAGACTATTGTCCTGGCGGTCAGCAGCCGTGTGTAAGCACTGTGCCACCAGGCCCCTACTCTATTTGGGACACAGTAATTTAAATGGACACTAAGGGCCTCCTGCACTCCATTCCATTGGTTCTGGGTTGACCTCATCAAACTGAAGCCCTTTAAGGCGGGAGAACTGCACTAAGCTCTCACTGCTCTCGGGCCTGCTCTGACTGGTTTTTCTCCTCCTGTTCAGTTTAACTTGCTGTTTGGATGGATCATCTCTGACTACAGAACCTTTGTCAGTTCTACAGTGACTGTTGTTGGGATCCTGATGGGAATCTCTCATCACAAGGATGTTAAAAAAAAAAACAAACCCACCCTGGTTTCTCTGCAGAACTCTATTTGATTTCACTTCTCTAACACAAGCAACCCTGTTGAACCTCGGCACACTGAAGGGAGCTTAGATCCTTTCCCTCCTGTGTTACGCTATCATCTATGTAGACAGTTCTAAGGGACTATCCCTTTCAGAAATGTGTCCTTTTCTAGCCCCAGCTCCCTTCTAGTTACCGTAGGACACTGGGCCAAGCGAGCATGAGGGATTTGTAACTTCTTTGAAAATGGCTACAATGAAAGGGGGGGTAGGGAATCAGGAAGGTGCTGTTCCTGGAAGAATGAATTGTTTTTAGCTATTAAACATGCATTTCTGGAGAGCCTATTCCTTTCCCCAGGAATCACCTACACAAAAGCCCATCTTCCTACTCAACATTAAAGGTAAAGGAGGAAACCCACATGAATATTTGTGGCCAAAATTAGTCTGGGAAGAGCAGGTCAAGGAGCAAAAACTGCAGTGAAAATGATTGCAACAGTAAGATAGATACTCATTCAGGCTAGTCATTCTGAGGCTCTAGAACGCCAAGGCTATTAACTACAATCCATATACTTAGTTTTTAATAGGGAAAGTTACTGCCTTCCTGAGAACTCCTGTTCCAATCACTCGGAAAGAAGGCCTCACCCCAGTGCGCTTCCCACCTACAACGTGTCTGGGAAGGGACTTGTATGGGACATAGCATTCAGAATTAACTCTATAGCCTGCCCCACCAAAAAAATTAAAAAATCCAAACGCACTGCCAGCTAGTTGCCAACTATAGTTTCCAAGACTTTTACAGAAGTAAAAGGCCCCATTTTCTCCCAAAGAGCCGGAGAAAATAAGTATCACTTGTTAAAAAGAACATCTAAAATTCTTACAGAAACGAGTCTAAGCCCTGAATTTGAGAAATGGTCTCTGTAGCTTTAAAGTCCAATGGCAGAATTCAGTATTTACCTTAAAAATTGATAATAGAAGAGAAAAACAATAAACAAAAGCCAAAGTGTTTTTCTACAACTGTTAAATTTTATTGGAATATTCCTGTGTTCCAAAGTTTCTTGGCTTGGCAGAGACAATTGTCTCATTATTTCTAGCATATATTTACTCTTTAAACATGCCTTTTGCTGCTCCTTGAAGCTTTCATGTTTACATTTTCCAGAACTGCCAACACCCAAATGGGATTTTAGTAATTTATAATTCCCAATTTGGTGGGAAGGCCTGAAATTTACTATTATTTTAACATCCTTTGATGTCAGCCACTGTGCTGGTCTGTCCACTTGAAAGTATTTCCCTTTTTAAAGATTCTTTTGGCTTTCCTTTAATTTCCACCATACATAACGTTTTTGTATAAAGATCCCACACATTAGCTGGTAACTTGTGTTTTGAAAGCAGAAACAAAGCAGCCAGTCCTTCAGTATTATATCAGTGTTTTGTCTTTCCAGGTTATTGCTTTAGACCCGGTCCTGGGCTCTTTTCTGATCTTTACTGGCGTCATCTCGATGGTACTTGTCGTCATTAACCTTTTTGTTTCTGCCATCCTAATGGCCTTTGGAAAAGAAAGGAAGTCTCTTAAGGTAACTCAATAGCTCAGTCATTTAAAGATATTGAATCATGATCTTATACATTAAAGTGAAAACTTTAATTAAAAATGTTGCTACTAGGGTTGAAGTTCATATACCCACAGATTTATCCCAAACGAAACATGTTTAACAAGTGTGGTCAGTGAATGGCTGCAGACAAGTTCTGAGTAATACATTGTCTTAGGCTTGTTAGAGTGTCCTCTAAAAACAAACAAACAAAACCCCCACCAGTGGCTTCCAAGGGAAATCTGCTGGCCCAGTTCAATTCTGTTAAGGCAGATAGGTCAGTTCAGGCTATGGCAACTGGTTTTAAGGTTTCCCAAAGGGTAGCCTTGATAGATTTTCTCCAAGGATACAGGACAATCCTGAGGCCTTTTCCCCATCACAATAATGCACGCACCTCCCCATTCTTTGAAGGTTTTGTTGGGAAGCCTTACTCTATCCATCCAACAGCCCTGATATTATTCCTTCAGACTTCCTTTTGTTCCCTCAACTGCAAGAACATTGAAAAGAACACAATTTAAGTGCTTCAAAGACACCCAAACTAACTGCCTTTTTGTAAACTGAAGAACGCAGAATTCTTAAGGAAAAGGGATGGAAATATTGCCTTCAAATGTGTATACAACTAGATGGTGGTTATGTTGAAAAGTGGCTTCATTTTTGTTTTAACAAACTATTTTATAGCAATACTTTTTGACTTACCCTCAAACAAGGTCTTAAATTACAAACGGACGTTAAAACATAGCAACATCATATTTCCTTTATTGGTCTCCATGCCTCTGCTAACCATTTTCTCAGAAAACCCAATTGACCATTCGACATTCTGTTCTATACTCTCTGTCCTACAAAATTCAGACCTCAACTCAGTTGAAGGATCACTGCAACTTGACAGCCAATCATTAAAGGAATTAATTTTGCATTGTCAGTCCTTTTTCCCTCCAGTATCAATGATTTCCCATTTTCCTTCTCATCCTCAAACAGATTAAGAAGCTGCACTGATTGATATACTGCTACGAAAAGTCTCACGTTTGCTAGGGCTACAACAGCATCAGAACATGCCCTGGTCTAACTAAGCAAGCCACCATGCCAGCAATTGGCCCTGCCTCTGAGGTTCCAGGTGATGGCCTCTCTTAATCCTGCTACCTCCTTCCTGAGCTTACTTCTTACTGTATTAAAATCTATCTTTGCATGGCATGACTTAAAAATGTTACGGATGTCTATTCTGTACTTTGTTCTTAATTCTGTAAATCAGGAATCAAATCACCTGGGTTCAAAGTTGGTAAGTTTTGGCCATTGGCACTCTCAGAGCAGAGCTAACACTGCCAGAATGATACAGGTGAAATAAGCTCTGCCACCCAGTAACGGAACCTGACCATCCCTTGTAACGAGACGGCAGAAGGAAATGGTATTTTAAAAAGGGAGCTTATTGAAGCTTATCAAAAATAAAGATGATGCAAAGTTTAGCTGAGGGGACCTCTGTCAGGACAGTGAATGAGCAAACTCACAGATGTTATCTGGGCTTAATCACGCAAGTCAAACGGGTTTCTCTTCTGATGGAGCCAATATGCGTTGGACTCCTGCACCAGCACAGGCTATTTGCTTAAAGAACAATCTACTCAAATCTAAACTTGTCCACCATTTGGCCAGACAGCAAGGTGAGAACAGTAGAGTCTCTTGTCCACTATTTGACCAAACAACAGGGTGAGAAGAGTAGAGTCTTTCATTTTATTAGCAGCTACCAAGCTGTGAAATACAAACCAATCAGAAACCATAACGAAAAGTTGCTTAAAACAAGTATGCACAGACACTGTACTGAAGAGAAAGCCCATCTTCCAATCCCAATGCCACTCGCATGGAGACAAGTGGTCTTGGGCAGGGAGTAAAAGAGCACGGAAGTTGCAACAGTGAGCAGCTCATCCACCCTGGGAAGCAAGCAGCTGAACAACTACAGCCACATGGGCACCAAACAAAATTGTGAGATCCGTTTTTTAAAGTTTCACTCAGTCATAAAGTTTTCAAATGAAAACAGGCACCTGTCTTTTCCTGTAGACATCCCAGCTCACTACCCGAGAGAGACTTGGGTACTTCTATTAAGGCAGCTGGAAGCCCACCCTAGCCTTGAATGGCAATTCCTGCCCAACATGTGGCCCATCCTTCTGCCAGTGATAAAATCCAACAGATGATGCTATAAGGAAAAAAGAGGAATTTACAGTGCTGCCTCTGGTCAAAAGGAAACAGAGCAAAAAGGCCACAGAGGGCTCCCTGAGAATCCAGTAGAACTAAGAGAGGCCATTAACTTTCCCACTAAACTTTGCAACTGGATCCAGGTGGAACCGTGCCCTGCAGCAAGGAGCATTGTACATGCCAATGAGAGGGCCCCATTTCCAAAACTGTTACAAGGGCTTCCTGAGTCATTCTCTCTCTCCCCTATTAACATCAGAGGGCAAGAAAACACACCTTGGCCTTGGTTCTCTCTCATCACAAATCCCTTTGCAGAGAAGGGCTGGCTTGTTTCTAACAGCCATTGATTGCAGCTCTGTCCACAATGCTTTGGGCCTTCTCACTCTCCTGTGTTGGGGCTGTGGGACAGGTCAGGAGCGAACCTGGGTCATACTGGCAGGAAATGGACAAGCACAGCTGCCAACAGTCAGCTGCGCTGGAGTCTCCAGGCGTTAGTGTCTCAGGCGCAAGAGAACTGGACAGTGGCAGAATTTGGTAAAGCAGGAAGAGAGCCCATTGGAAGAGTACACTCAGTGATGATTAATAGATGAAACGGAATTTCATGGAGATTCTTTGTTACAAGGAGGAGGTGCTTAGTCCCAATTTCCAGAACCTGGAAGTTTCCTAGTTTAAAGGCCTATGTTTTCTTTTTAAGCTCTTCAAATCTCCGGGAGAGATCATCAAAGTCAATGTCTTCAGAAGCTGAGGTGCTGCCACCAGCAGATGCAGTGGGTAGTGTGTCTGGCACAGAGGGCAGCTCAGGAAGTACAAAGTTGTCACAGGTCTCAGCAGGTCTCGAAGGAAGCTTGGCAGAGGCTTCTGGCTTGGGCCCAGGACCTATTCAGGGAAAGGAGCAAACTGTTACAAGAACCACAGATGCAGGAGGGGGAAAAGAGGAGCTGATACCAAGGGCTCATATAGAAAGTAAATGTTTAGAAAATAATTATGGCAACATATGTACAAATATAATAGAATTGATGTATGGATTGTCATAAGAGCTGTAAGTCTCCAATAAAATGATTTTTTTTAAAAAAAAACAGAACCACAGAAATGCTTCAGCCCTTCAAAGCCATCAGCACTCTTTGGCAGAAACAACAAAATAATCACAAATTATAAGCAAAAACACTGATTTTTAAAAGGTTAAAATTCTAAAAGCCAGTGAAAATTTCAGGACATTAACATCTACATTTTCTGTATAAAGCATGCTGTCTACCTTATTTAATGAGATCTGATCTGTACTTTTAGCCTTAATTTTTATTCTGTAAGTTAAATCATCCCCTTAACCTAATGCATGTTTCCACTTATATGTAAATTCCACAACAGGAAAATTAATCTATATAGTTGAATTAATTACTATAGTTGAATTCTATTTGTTTTATTTTCATGCAGTAGAAGAAAAAAAAGTTTAAGGACAAGTCAACATGCAGTTCATGGAGCCAGGTATATAGAGTACTCATCATTCCAACTATCCTCTTTCACAATGTCTGCTTCTAGATCATCTAAGTCCAAAAGGGGATGCTAGAATTTTGTTCAAACAATGCTTCCCTAAGAAGGACCACTGTTTCTAAGACTTAGGAAAAAATTCTGTATAAAGCATGCTGTCTACCTTATTTAATGAGATCTGATCTGTACTTTTAGCCTTAATTTTTATTCTGTAAGTTAAATCATCCCCTTAACCTAATGCATGTTTCCACTTATATGTAAATTCCACAACAGGAAAATTAATCTATAGTTCTAGAAGATCAAATGTCTGGCCTGTAACCATTGATGGGATGGGAATGGGATTGTGGGTGGTAATGGCACAGGATGCCTCTCTCATTTCGCTGTGTATGAGGTGGCAATGAGTTGAGGGCTTAACTTGCTGGCAGCTAACAACATGGACAATCAGAACAGTGGTTGTCTTTTAGGAAAGGGGTCGAAGTGAGCACAAGGGCAACTCTCTGGGGTAATATAAATGTTCTCTATCTTCACTGGCATGGTGGGTACCATGTATTTACATGTATCAACACTCACCAAACTGAGTTCAGATTATTTAAGAGTTGTGGGATTTTTTTGTTTGTCACCCACAGGACTCTGTTTTTATTTCAGTTGACAACAGGCATGCACGCCAACACAAATGCACAAGTGTGAAGTGCACATTATCAGTGGAAATACGCATGTTTTCATGAGCGTTTTTTTTTTAAATCATTTTATTGGGGGTTCGTACAACTCTTATCACAATCCATACATCCATTATGTCAAGCACATTTGCACATTTATTGCACGCATCATTCTCGAAACATTTGCTTTCTACTTAAGCCCTTGGTATCAGCTCCTCATCCCCCCTCTTCATGAATTAACAGTTGTTTTATTGTGTCTGATTTACACTCAATAAAGCAGCCATCTCCAATTTGAAAAAGAATTACCCTTCTGGGTTTCTAAGTAATATTTTATTTTTGATCAAATGGACAGCTATATACAGATATGCTTGCTTTTGAAAATGTGTTGAGTGTACACCTATGACTTGTACATATTTTCCCCTCTTCAGTGCCCCAATTTTTAAAATATGTAGATATTTTTGCTAGTTCCAGGCACAATGGAAGTTGAAGCAGCAAAAACAGAAATAAATAATATGAGGGTAACTGAAAAACTAATAGATAAAAAAAAATGACTGAGTAAAAAGTGATACTACAAACAGAGACAGGGTAAGTGGAAAAGTTTCACTTTCAGAAGAGGGAGACCCGAGTTCTGTGTCGGAGAGGAAAGGGCACATGGGTAGAATGCCTTGCACAGGACAGCTGCCCCTCTAAGCGACACAGTCACGAGAAAAGAGCGGGGGTTGGCACTGAGCCTTGAGGGCTCTGACTCATACTCACCAACAATCTGTGCAGAAGAAACATTCTTATCAGCATTAATGTCATCAACCTACAAAACAAAGGTGGTTACTTGATGGAAAAACAGGGACACCACTGGAGACAAGTACAGATACTGTCACCAGCCCCCGTGCTTTCCCAAAGCTACAATGCTCACCAAAAGCAACAGACACTGCCTCAAAGAAACTGCCTGTCCACCGTCTGCACTTCTCCCTGACCGTCCTCTAGCCAGGTGGACACCAGTCCAACTTTCATAGCAAAGCAGAGAAAAAGAAAGCTCTTACTATACCCGACTCCTTCCTTTAACCTTTATCTTCACCTTCCAGTTGGGGAGAAAGTGTTCAACCAGCTAGTTAAATATCTCTATTAAGATCTTCTACCTAGTTAGCCAGCGATAGTCATGGACAATGTTTTAATGAATCAAGGCCAAAGCATAAGAAAAAGCCCCTACATAAAACACATCAACTAGAGACACACACTAAGCAGGAACTGGGGGCGGGGGTCTATGGGATGAATAATTTACACCACATATGCCACACCAGTTTGCCTTCTCGATAACGCACAGATGAAAAGGGATCTCAAAAGGCACGTACCAACAGAGGAAATGAGACTGGCAGAAAATAAGTGATCCTAAACCAAAGCCATTACAACCAACTATACAGTTCACAGTGGCAGTCCCCTATTAGTCAGTTATAACAAGTATGACTCTAGGTCAATGTGAAATTAATACCATTAAGAGGAAAACTACTAACTGGATACTTTAGTTGAAGACAAAATTCAGTCACTACTTTTAACAAAACTATCCCTTCAGTTGAGGGTTAAGAACTTATAAAAATGGAGAGTCCCTTCGTTATTAAGATATTTAGCACCAAGGCCGTACCAGCTCAATGTGACTGTCTGTGTGGCCAATCAAAGAACCAACCAATTACGTTCCCTGTTAGGGCTTCCTAACAGATCTGCAGTTCCTTCCTAGTTCCTGGCTTAATTGCAGACAAGGCATTGCCACCACTGATGCTGCCACCACCACCATCACTTCCCACTCCCAGAGAAGTATGAAAGCAACACCAGAACCCCAAAGCAAGGACAGTGCTGGTACTGAGTTGATCAAAACTTTGACTTCCCTGTAGTGATTATTTTGCTCTCTCTTCATGAGGATTCACTCTCCTGCTGCTTATAAAAGAGGCTCGGGCACTTACAGATTCATACGATGGGGGAGTTGCTGGTATCTGAGGTGGATGAATATTAGGAAAGGCCTGATAAGTTCCCACTGGCAATCCATTGAAATCCGACTGCAAGAGGAGAAAGGGAACATAAGAGAGACTGCTCCCTACTTCTGAGGTTTATGTGTGTACGAAGGGGAAAGAATGTGTATATATTTAAGAGTCCCAAATGAAAATGCCCCACATATGGTGAGGGTTCCAGATGTTTAAAGACCAAGAGCCAAAGGGCTAGTCTTCAGTTAACTAAATTATTTGCTTCAGTGTCTGTCAGGAAAAAGACTAATCAGATTTGCTAGCAAGATCATCTTCCAAGGTTTTCCTACCTCATAGTAAGTAGCAGTGAATCACATTTGAAAAAGGTACTAGCATTCCTTCAACAGGTCCTACAGGTAGGTTCAGTAAACCTACATTTAGAAAAGGTTTGCTAGTACCACCTCTCTAGACTTTACTTCATTAACTATAGCTCACCAAACGACTTTCTCTGAATCCCAATGATAAAATATCTCTTTCCCACAGTATGATTACGAGGCTGATACCAAATGCTAAATCTTCCTATAAGTCTTGAGTAAACTCACAACACCAGTTTGTCATCTTCTGTTACGTTGTCTAGAGTTCACATTCACACCATTTATGAGTATACTTACAGGTCCCTTAGGAAGTGGATATGAGAAAGGAGACCCAGGAGATGGCATGGGCATAGGCATAGGCATGGGCATGGGCATTGGCACTGTTCCATCAGGTCCACTAACTGGTGCAGTGAACCCACCACCACCACCTCCACCTCTTCCAGAGCCACCTTTCTTCACATCATCTGTGAAGCCAACATCAATCAGATCTGTCTCTACCCCGGAAGGTGCTTCTGCCTGAGGAAAAAAAAAAGAACCCTGTATCACTATCCCATGTCCTCTGAAGTCAAGATAAGCACAAAGGAAGTTTAATGAGGCGTGCTCTGGAGAGCACCACCTATAGGGCAAGGGAAGAAGCCGGGTTGAGCAGAAGCAGTTGAGGTGCAATACAATCACAACAGAGGCCTCAGTCGATGCCCAGGGGAGCTCTGGAGCTGGGATGGACCTGTAGAGGTGTCCTTGATTGAGACAAAGGGCAGTCTTTATAACCCTACACTGAGCAGTCACTGGATGCGGGGATGAGCCATGACTTTGGGTGAGACAACTCTATTCAGCTGAGGGCCCTATCTGTAGAGGTACATGGCTATGAGTCAATAGTCTAAAGGGTTGGAGTACTGAGCACTCTATCCTGAAAAGGGAAGATAGGACAAACCAAGACACCCACCACACACCACTGACCTACGTGCTGAATGATTATTGTTTGTCTATTTGCCTTTCTATACCGTAAGACTCTTCAGGACAAGGATGTGGATTTTATTCATCTTTATAATCCAGCTTTCTGTGTACTGCCTGGAACTTGGTAGTCACCATTAAGTGTCTCATGAACTGTTTCATGCCTTGGGGTATTTCTTGCTATTCACAGCAGGATTCTTAAATTTCTTGAAGTTCAAAGAAAAGTAGCAGTAATACCACTTTAGTATCAAGGTTTGTACCTTCTCAAAGGGCATTCATTTATTCATTTCATCGGATCCTTAACTATCCTGAGATGGGCAGCCATATTTATTGTCACCCAAAAGGAATGAACTGGGACAAACTTGAGGTAGTGCAAAGAATACAGTCATTTCTCAAAGCTCTTCATTATCTAGAGACTCATTTTCCTTTGTTTTCTGGGACATTCTAAACTTACCATGACCACTGAGTCAGGCTCATAGGGTACATTGTAATTCTTGGCAATTTCAATCAGGTATCTCTCCACCAAGATTTTAGGTGGAGCCTCCACACTCAGCTTGTGCATTAGCTGTAGACAGAAAAACCTCAGCATAAGTTAAGGTACATTGATACCAAGCAGCCTCATTCTAATCTAATTAATTCAATTTTGTTCTTTTATTTTATAGGTAACATAAAAGGGGAGGGGAGGAATGAGGTTCAGATCAGCTAAATGGACCCATGTTTCTCTCTCTCTTTCTGTGTTGTATCTGTCTCTTGCTATATATAGTGTTGTGTTGATAAAAGACTAATACTGCCTCTAAAGTGTAATCCACTTACCCTTCTTCCCACTTCACCTCTATCTCTACTAATCACAGAGGTGAATTAAGTAGTGATGTATCAGAACACAGGGGGAAAATCAGAAAAAATATGGAGTGCCCTGATTGACACAGATGATCAGGGCGAGAAGGTCTGTTCATTGAACTGCCAACCAGATGGTCTTCCTTCTCTCCCACACTAAGAAATGAACTCATACAGTGGTGCCCAACAGAATCACTGGGGCCATGAAACAGCATACTCCCATCCTGGCCACTGCTTCAGGTTTCACAAGTCTGTTCATTACCCTGTCATTCACAGTTCCGATCTGGTTGGTTCTACATAACTTGCCATATTCCTTGCTATACTTGGCACAGAGCTGATCAGCAACCTACAGAGGAAAAAAAAAAAAAGTGGAAATGACTTCAATAGAGTGCCTCAGCCATCTTCCTATCAGCAATGGACATGCTTCATTACAGAATATCCAAAAAACTGATTTCTGTAAAAGTCTTAAGAAGTTCACATTAAATCATTCATTTATTCAACTATCCATCCAGTCAGAATTACAAGAAGGGCTTCAAAAAGCTCAACGTGCCTTTGTGATGCTGTCTGGTAAGCACTGGACCATGCTAAACACATGGCCAGTGGTCCAAGCCACCCAGCTGCTTCCCAGAAGATGCAGCTATCTGCTGCCTCCAAGATGAACAGCCTCAGAGACTCCACACAGGCTTGCTAGGAGTCATAATCAACACAATGGCAGCAAGCTTTCAAAAGTTTATGGAAAAAGGAAATTCAAAGATCGTACATTTTTGTCTGCAAACTTTTTGAAGCCTCTATATGTAGCAAACACTACTATAATGGAAGGCAGCTCTGCTCGCCACTATACCACCAACTCAGATGACACGACTATAATGATATACAATGTAATGAGCAAAAAGACACTGTTCCGCCTCAGATCCATGAGGAGAACAGTAATTATGTTCACCAGTCCTACACTATGAACTACAGACATAATTGCAGTTGGTTGCACTCACGATTTTCAACTCGGCCACTTCTGACTGGAGTCGAGGAGCAGCCCAAATCAGTGTAGACACGGACTCAGCTAGACCAGAATCCAGCTCCCTAATCAAGAAAGATATGTGCAAACCTTGATGTTCCTTAAAATAAAGACAGCAAAAGCCTATCTTTTGAATAGCATATTTGAAAAGTCTAAAATCCTTTCACAAAACTCAAGTGATTCTTAAAAGTCTAGGCTCACAGCCACATCATCGACCTCTTGTTCTTTTGAGGAGATACAGCCGAGATGCTGAAGGACAAGGGCACACAACCGGAAAATGGCTGAGCCAAAGCTCAAACTTCAGATTCTATGATTATGCTTTTTTTTTTTTTTAAAAAAACAAGACCAAATGGTTAGAAACTATCTGTGGATATGTAACGTAGTTTCGTTTTGTTTTTAGAGAGCATGCCTCTAACTGTTAAAAAGAGTCTAACATGTAGAAGAGACCAATGTTAGTTACGCCCTTCTCAAGTTTCAGAGGTAAGCTGAGTCTCCAAATTGAAATCTCTTACTTCATAGACTGGATGAGCCCAAACCGGGCGAGCAGCAGGTCACAGTACAGCTCCAGGATCTCCATGGCCTCCACAAGGTAGTCTTCCCGGATGATGTGCTCCACTCGGATCCGAGCACGTTCATCCTTCCCAGAAGCCAGATAGTCAGCGATTTCCTTCCTTGCTTTCTGGGCCAGTTCAGCTAAGGCACAAATCCCATCCCAGTCACTTAGCAGTAGTACATGGGGCCATATCCCCACTTCTATCTGTAGGCCACCTCAACAGAGAGAAGTGGGGCATGTCTGCTATGTCCTAGCCCACTTCCCCTTAGCAAATTTAGTATAGAATCTTCTGCTTTGACTATATGAGAATACGTTTAGTAAGCAGAAAATTTCCGTGTGGGAGCCACCATTAGTTAGTTCCAGCCTTGGTTGGAACTAGTTAGTTAGTTGATTCAGCCCTGCCAGTACCAAAGGAACTCAACCTCAAATGCAAAAATGCATCCAGTGTCGGGCCCGTGTTTCCTAGGGCTCTGCAGCCCTTGTTTGGAGCGCTAGCATCCAGTGAACTCTTTTGGAAAAGAGATACGGTGACCATGCACTACTCACTTTTTTTTTTCTCCAACAGTTTAAGACGATTTATGACTAATCTCAAATTCACTCGTAAACGCTCAGCTTTAAATCCAGAGCCCAGCATGCTGTGCTTTTTCTCCTGGGAAAAGAAGCACAATGATGATTTTTCAAGTTAGAATTAGTTCTGAAAGTAAACCTCTCAGTGGATTATTAGACACAGTACAAGTGCTTTTCTAATACAGGACCAATTACATGATCTAATTCACATTTTCAAAAGATTTTGGTTGCTGTGTGGAGAAATGATGGGGAAAGACAACAGTGGAAGCAAAACGATCGATGACAAGCGATGACAGTTCAGACTGGCAGTGGCAATGGTAGTGGGAGAATCTGAGATCTACTTTGAAGGCAGATTTGAAAAACCTTGGATGGTCGATGAAAGAGCAGTCAGGTATTAGTATAGGAGTTGGGTGACAAAAAGACAAAGAAGCAGGAGGGGCCCCTGCTTCTCCCAAAATTCTAAACAGGGATCTCAAAACTCACTGCCAACCAGTCAATGTGGACTCATAATAACCCCCCACCCCCACCCACCTGGTTTCCAAGACTGTAAATGCTGACTACAGTAGAAAGCCCAGCCTTTTTCCCATGAAGCTGCTTGTGGTTTCAAATTGTCAAATATGCGGATCACAGTCTAACACATAACCACTACACCACCAGGGCTCAAACAGGGAGCACGAAGGCAGAAGACTGACTTAGACCTATATTCAAAGGCATTCTCTTATCTTTTTAATTCTCCAAGTCTGAAGTCTCAGCTTTTAGGGAAAAGCTAATGCCCAAGATTCAAAGATTTCTCATTTACATGTGCTCACATACAAAACCCCACAAGGGGACAGAAGGTCAAAAGGGTAAGGGTGGGTGCTGTCCCACACGAAGGCTTTTCACTGACGAGCAGGCTAATAGTAAACATGGTCATCACCCACAAGCCTAGGAGTCTAGGTTGTACCATTGTGCCCTGGCCACTATGCACTACATTTCAAGCTAGCAGATTTCTATTTGTCTCAATTCCGAGTGTACACTTCAAACAATGTAAAACCTTGTTTTAGTAGAATAACCTGAATGAACAGATCAGAGACTCAAAGTACAGAACACTAAGAAAAGGATCTGCATATCATTGTGTGCTCACCTTCCCGAGATGATCACTGAAGACAAATGGGTGCATAAGCAAAAGTGGTGAAGAAAGCTGATGGTGCCCACTAGCAAAAGCTATAGCATCTGGGGTGTTAAAGGCTTGAAGGTAAACAAGCGGCCATCTAGCTAAGAAGCAACAAAGCCCATATGGAAGAAGTACACCAGCCTGTGTGATCACGGGGTGTCGGAGGGATCAGGTATCAGGCATCAAAGAACAAAAAATCAAATCATTGTGAAAGAGGGGGAGTGCAGATAGGGGACCCAAGACCCATCTGTAGGCAACTGGACATCCCCTTACAGAAGGGTCACGGGGAGATGTGCCAGTCAGGGTGCAGGGTAGCAACGATGAAACATACAACTTTCCTCTAGTTCCTAAATGCTTCCTCCCCCCCAATACCATGATCCCAATCCTACCTTACAAATCTGGCTAGACCAGAGGATGTACACTGGTACAGATAGAAACTGGAAACACAGGGAATCCAGGACAGATGATCCCTTCAGGACCAGTGGTGAGAGTGGCAATACTGGGAGGGTGGAGAGAGGGTGGGTTGGAAAGGGGGAACCGATTACAAGGATCTACATATAACCTCCTCCCTGGGGGACGGACCACAGAAAAGTGGGTGAAAAGAAAGGGTAAGATATGACAAAATAAAGGGAGACGTCAGGCAGTGTAGGATATGACAAAATAATTTATAAATTATCAAGGGTTCATGAGGGAGGGGGGAGCGGGTAGGGAGGGGGAAAAATGAGCTGATGTTGGGTGCTTAAGTGAAGAGCAAATGTTTTGAGAATGATAAGGGCAACGAATGTACAAATGTGCTTTACACAATTGATGTATGCATGGATTGTAATAAGAGTTGTATGAGCCCCCAATAAAATTTTAAAAAGAAAGAAAAGAAAACGATCTGTCTGCCTGGGCAAAAGTCACCATCTCAAGTTATCTAGTGCAGCTGTCACAGAAAGACCGCAGCGAGTGGCTTTAGCAACACAGTTTATTTTCTCATGGTTGAGGCTAGAAGGCCAAATTCAGGGCAGAAGTTCTCAAGGTAGATTTTCTCTCTGCTCCCTCTGAAGGAAAGCCTTGTCTCTGTGTGCTTCTGCTCTTGGGCAATCACGTATGTCTTGGCATCTCTCTCTTCTCCCACTTCTATTTCCTAGCTTGCTTGCTTAATCTCTTTCATAACTCAAAGGATGTCTCAAAACACAAGCTACACTGATCAGAACTCATTAGCATAACAAAGACAACCCATTTTCAGAGGAAATTAATAACCACAAGCTTGGAGGTTAGGATTTATAACACATATTTTGGAAGGAACAGCATTCAATCCATTGCAATCACTAATAGAAAACCACAAGTATTTTTCTTTTTCAAGTTGCCTCCAACTTTAGACACCTAATACTTAAGCCAGAGCCCAATTCGAAATGCAGCTTGCAAATCATGAGATCACCATTATACTGAATTATGTCTAGTTCCATATAGCATATAGCTATTGATCATCTGTAAACCAGACACTGGTGAGATGTTGAAGATAAAAAGATAAATAAGGCACTGTCATGTCTTCAAAGGGACCTATAGTCTGTTAGAGAACAAAGCTAAGAAATCCTGCCAACAATACTGTTTGGCAAAGACTGTAATTCTACAGTGTTTCTCAACCAAGGAAATTATGCACCCCAGAGGACGCTGACATTGTCTGCAGACTCGTGGGATTGTTAAAACTGAAGGGGATGCTGCTGGCATCTTGCAGGTAGAGGCCAAGAATTCTGCTAGCCAGCCTACAAATGCACAGGGCAGCTCCCCACAACAAAGAACTATCCCTCCTCATATGTCAATAGAGCTAAGACTGAGAAACCCTGTTCTACAGAAAAGACACCTAACCTACTGGAGAGGCTTTTAAAAATAATTTTCCATAAGACTAGGTCTGAGTCCCAAAGAACAAACAAAATGTGAGTGTCCCAAGGACCAGGAAGAACAGTTAGCTTTCTGAAAAACGGTAAGGTCCGTTCAATTGAAACAGAGCATTAACTAGTCATACTGAAACATGTCTACCGAACGATTGTGCATTTCCAATCTTTGACATTAGGAGTTCCTCAAAACAAACAAGCCAACGATGCCACTGAGTATATTCCAACTGATGGTGTAGAGCAGCGGTTCTCAACCTGTGGGTCTGAAAAACCTTGGATGGTCGATGAAATGAGCAGCCATGTATTAGTTTGGGGATCAAACGACCCTTTCACAGGGGCCACCGTAGTTCTACCATGTGCTATAGGGTTGAGATGAGTAGGAGTCCCTAGGGGTACAAAAAAGGAGCCTTGGAGTTGCTGTGGGTTCGGTGTGGGGCTGCTGAATGAATGTCAGCCATTCAAATGCATCATCCACTCCCAAGGATAAGCATGAAGCCATCTGACCCCGTGCAAAGGTAGGGTCTTAGAAACCCAACAGAGGGTTGTTCTGAGTCGAAATCGACTAGATGGATGTGGGTAGGTGATGCGAAAGGAGTCCTGGAGGCACAGCGGCCAAGTGCCCAGCAGCTGGTAAGATCAGCAATTCTCCGGCTCCACAGGAGAAAGGTAAGGCAGTCTGGAAACCCTACAGTCCTACCCTTTCCTATAGGGTCACTATGAATAGGAATTGGCTTGTCAACAGTAGGTTTAGGAATTTTAATTGGTGCAAGGAGCACCTGGGTGGTATAACCTGAGTATAGTAGTGCTTGGCTACTACACCAAAAGGTTAGCAGTTTGAGTCCACCCAGCGGCACCTAGGAATACCTGCCAATCGACTTCTGTAAAATCAGCCACTGAAAACATTGGATACGAAGCACAGTTTTATTTTGATACACACTGGATTGTCATGAATCTGAATCAACTCAGCAACTGGTGGTGGTGGTGAAGATCTGCAATTTTGTGAGTCTAGATTTTCTGAAGCAAATTTCATTTTACAATCAGAGCAGACTATATATGCAGGGGCATCAGAAGGTTTGTGGGAAAATGGAATTGAAAGATAATGGAATTTTCCCACAAACTTTTTTATGCCTCTTCATATAACTGGGTCTTGGTTCTGATGGTTTGAAAACAGAGCTTCAACGGAGCAAGCCAGAGTTGGAAGATTCTGGCGCTCTTTTGCATTTAAAAGTCACAAGAACAGGACCTTGGCAGCATAGTGGTTACGCATTGCACTGCAAACCACAAAAGTCAGCAGTTCAAAACCACCAGCCCCACCAAGGGAGACAGGCGAGGCTTTCTAACTCCTATAAAAGCCAGAGAGAGGCACAGGAAGACTGGGAGAGATCATGCAAACAACTAATTTGGACAAACCAATACTTTTGAAATGAATCTTTAAAATTACAATATTATTACAATAATAACTAATCATAAAATGTAATATGAACATTGAGGATTGAAAGCACTTTTATATCTTCTGACTACCAAACATTCCTCTCATCAGTTGATATCTTTCTGATGAGGCTGGGGCCGTTCCCATGGACAACTGCTTTGTTGGTACAGGAGTCAAAGGACTTGTAATACATTTTCTAATATAAGAATACTGGTGTATGTTTATATTTTTATATATATATACACACACTATTATTTTATTTATATATATATATATATATACACACACACACATATATATATACACACTATTATTTTATTAACGAGGTAGTCTTATAAGAAAGTGTATATATAATACTCTCTGAAAGGCGCAGTTAAAGGCCAGACTGTAATTTTAGTACTACAGTGGCTATGGCTCATGTGATGATAACACAATGCAACTACTATCAAATGGATTCTCTCGAGCTCCGATCCCATTAAGTTTATGCTGCTATTTCCTCATCCCTGACAACACGGAAGAAAGACGCGGAGAAGAGAGAAAGGAGAGGGTTGAGGGCAGGACGGCTGGCTCCGGTCAAGGTCTCCTCTTCCGATACGGAGAGGGGGATGCGCGAAAGCGGGCAGCAGAGGTGGCAGCTTGCTTCGCAGAAAGCAAAATAAAATGCGACAATCTCCGGCCTACGCGGGTCCAAACCCGGGCCTGCCAGGTACAATGCCAGAAACGCAGCCACTAACACCCCGGGGAGGCGCCCGAGGCGCTGGCATCGACCAGCCTGTCGCAGGCACCCGACACGATCCTCTAGGCCACCCGGCGGGGGGGGTCGTGCTTAGAGCGCAGACGGCATCGGCGAAGTCGCCGCGTTTCCATCCCACGAGACACCTTGGGATCCGACAGTCAGAAGCCTCCAGCGTCCCGACCGGCCGGTCCCTAGGTGCCCCGCGGCCCTGCCACGCCCCCCCGGCCTCGGGGCGACGCCCGCACCCCGGCCCCTCCGGCCGGACCCCACACCCAGGACCCTCTCCTTTCGCAGCCATCTCCAGCCTAAGGCCTTCTATATCCGCGGCGCGGACTTGGGGTTCCTGAATGAGGAAAACAAAGAGCCCCGACGCCGAGGACGCCACCTCACCTGATCGAATCCCAGCGAGAAAACAGCCCAGGCCGACTTCCGTCTCGGCGCTCAGCATCCAAAATGGCTGCCTCCTCGGCCTCGCCCAGCCAGAGCCGCGGAGGGATCCGCAGGGCCGCGGCGGCCGCGCCACTCTTTCCCGGGATTGGCTGGCGCTCCTGCCGGGAGCCTCTTGGCTCCCTGCGAGCGGGCGCGGCCCGGAACTACTTCCCGCGGCGGAGGCCGGCTCGGCGCGCCAGGACGTCGCGGCTCCTGAGTCACCCGCGAGGGTCGCGCCCTGATTCCGCTGCGCTTGCTTGGGGCGAGGTGAGGTCAGTGCCGCCGAGCAAACCTCCTCCAGGACTTCCTTCAACGGCTGGAAGTCGTCCCCGATTCGCTTTTGCCCCCGCCTCACTTTCCCCATTCACGCCCGGGACTCTGCCCGAGGCTGTATCTCTTTCCCCCGGGCGGCGCGGCTTCTCTGGGAAGGGTTTTATTCCACTCTTCACCCACCTCTTTCCTGAGCCACCACCTCTCCTTTTCCGTCCGCCTGCCGTGATCCTCGTGCCCTGCCTTTAAGGGAGCCTGTGTGTCTTTCAGCCAGACGGTCTGGGGTTTGTATCATTTCATGCGTGTGCTGAGCACACATCCTCTAGCAATTTACCATCTCCTCTGAATTCAGTTGAAACGTTTCCACTTGGTTGCCCTTTGTTTCCAACCTGAGAACCATTCTCACAGGTTAGCTTTGGAAGGGGATTCCTGGACGCCTTGCTTCCCGGAGGAAGTAATCCTTCTCCCTGCCATAGAGCTTGCACCTAATCAAATAAAAATAAAACCGCTGTCCCAGAGCCGACTCTGACTCAGCAACCTATAGGACAGAGGAGAACTGCCCCCACAGAGTTTTTAAGATGTCACCGAGGAGAACTGCTACAGCTTCTGGAAGCGGCTTGGGAGAGGGAGGGACGGGTCCCAAGCGCCAGCCCATTTACCTGGTTAGCAGCAGCTGAGTGCTTTACCACTGCTCCATCATGGTGCTGAGGCTGCGTCTGCAGAGGCTAAAGTGGTGTGCTGCTAAATTAAATTGTGATGGGATTGGCATGTGACAAGTATGAGGTTTCTGTCAGAAATGTCTATGGCCATTCGCAGGTAGTTAAAAATGTCTCAGGTTAGAGAACTTCAAAACACTGTTTGTTTATTTAAAAATGTATTAAATACATATGTAAATTGAGCTAATTCTGCTACAGGATAACGGCATTTTCGTTTAAATGTGGGCTAACGGCTTTCGTTTAAACCGCTGTAGAGCATGAAATTGAAGTTGTGTAGATCGAGTTGAAATCTGAATTCAAGCAAACTACTACAAACTGTGGGAATTAGTTTATGTCCCCAGAATTAGATGATAGCAAAGAATTATTACTTTGTAAGCTGTGAAATGCCGTTGAAGTTTTTAAAGAAAATCTACCCCCTACATACGCCTTTTTTGTATGTATATACTCCCATGCCAGCACATCTGCTCAACTTAAAGATCTACCTATGCATCCACTTGCAAATTGTTATTACTGTTATTGCAGCATGGGGCAGTATTCACCGTTGTTGCCTTATCATCGTCTGCCCCTCTCCGTCTCTTCCTTGGTTATGTTGTTAATGTAAGCCTCCTCGCCCCGTTAGCAAGGAGCCCTGGGGGGGCTAGCGGGCTACATTATGAGCTGCCAACCACCTGGAAGAAAGGTGAGGCTGTTAGCACCTGTGAAGCTGTAAAGTCTCAGTTTCAAAAGGGCAGTTCTGCTCAGCACTAGAGGATCTCTGTAGATCAAAGACTCAATGGCAGGGAGTTTGTGTTTGGTTTTATCTAACTAGTGGCATGGTGGGATACTAGTTGGGTTGTTAACTATGAGGTCAGCAGTTCAAACTTACCAGTCGCTCAGAGGGTGTGTTAGGCAAGGTTCTCTAGAGAGATAAAACCAAATTGCTGATAATATATTTATTTATAAAGATAATTAGATATATAACACAAGAAATGAACTGTTAAATTATAAAGCAGTACAAATGGCTCAGTGCAACTCACTCCCATGAGAGAGAGTTGTGAGACACTAGCAGTCCTTCAAGTCTGTTCTGCTGCCAGGTCTTCCTCAGCCAGGTCACCAACCGCCAGTCCCCAGCTCCAGAGATGTCTTAAAGGAACCTCAACTTACAGCGACACAGTTCACAGGCTAGGCGTCCCACAGGTAGTGTAGCCTGTAAATTGAGGCACAGAACAAGCAAAGCAGCCACACACTGGTCTGATGATCAAAGAGCGAGAAACAAAAAAGGTGAGGCTCACCGAGCCATTTATCTCTCCGCCCTTCAGTTAATCCCACTTGTGTTTATCAGCCAGGCTAGCACAATAAACTATCTCAAGAGGGTTTCTGTTCTGTAAAGATTTACAGCCTCGGGAATCTGTCCGGACAGTTCCAGTCTGCCGTATGGGACAACTGAGTCAGAATTAACTTGATGGCAGTGCGTTTGAATTTATTTAGTGAGTGATATTCCCTAGGCCATCCTCCCCTTCTTGCTAAGCATCAAAGAATGTTTCTGTCCATGTGTACACCTTTTCTTTTTATAATTGTGCCCTCATAGGCAATATTTGCCCTTCCTTTCTTTTAATAAATATCTCCTAGACAACATTTGGCTTTTCACGATTGACTTCACTCAGCACAATATCCTCATGTTGTGAGACGTGTCACAGAGACAGATTCTCTGATGTTGCTTAGTATTCTGTTTATATCACAGGGGCCATTTGTTTGGGCTCGGTTCCCAGGAAGGGAGAAAGTCCCTCTACATGGAGGGCAAGAAAGTGAAAAACTGACCCAGAGTGTATCCAGGAAACATGAGTCTATTTGCTTTAGGACCGGATAAGCAGTACTGCATCCAGTGGCGCCTCACAAGAATGGATCTGCTATGGGGGTAGCTGTGGGGGCTCTTTTGATAGAAGCACTTTTTCATCATGTGTGTTATAGAAACCATTTGCCCGAAACTGTTTGTTAGTCTACCGAAACCATTTACACTAGATTACTCCTTGTGATGAGGAGGAAGGAAAAAATGTGCATAAAGTGTCTAGCTGTTGTCTGTCTGTCTGTCTGGGGAGGCATAAGGGTGAGGTGTAGAACGCACGGACGCCTGTTTCACTGAAGTGTAGCCCTTTGGGAGTGTTAGCTATCCTTGTTCCATTCATTCCTTGATAGACAGATTGTTTCCTATCTTTTTGCTGCTGTAGATAACGCTGTATATGGATCCTGTTTTGTTTTTCTGCCAGCTTAATTTGTTAAGGAGATGACCCCTTCCCCATTCAGTGGATTTTAAAACTTCGTTGAAGGCCAGCAAACCATAGGTAGATAATCTGAGTTCTCAGTTTTGTTCTCTTGGCCTGTATGTCTCCCTTGGACTAGTAAAATAGAGTTTTCAGTGACTGATTTTTCAGAAGTGATTGTCAGGTCTCTGGGTAGACTCAGCCTTATAACAAATATAAAAAAAAGAGATAAGATGACTGAAGCCTTGATATTTATTGAAATGTATGATGGCGAATGCTGCACTATTTTCTTTACCTTCAAGTATGTTGAAATTGTTCATAGTAAATTCTAGAGAGTTAATTCATGGGGGAAAATTATAAAAACAGTATACATACTAGTCAGTTAAATTAAAAATATGATACTCTGTACAAGAAAACTAGTTCTAGATTAAAAGAAGCTAGAAACCCAGGCCTCTGGGTGGCGCAAGACCTTTGTAATCAGTTACTAACCTAAAGATTGGCCTTTGGAACGCACCCAGGGGTGCTGCAGAAGAAACACCTAGCCATACTCTATAAAAATTGTTGAGTCTGTTCCAACAGTCGAAAACCCCATGGAGCTGTTCTGCTCTAACACAGGGGATTGCTGGGACTTGGCATCAACTTTAATGTCATGAGTAAGGAGACCACAACCAAATACGTTCTATGAAACTCATTGGATCCTAATTAGAAAAAAAAAAACTTAAGGGAACAATTTAGGAAATTTGAATATTTTCTGCACATTATATATGGAAATATAATGAATGGTTTTGGGTGTAATGAAGTGTGGTTGAATAAGAGAAAGCCCTTATTCTTAGTGGAGGCCTGCTGAAATCTTTAGACAGGAAGTGTCGTCATGTCTGCAACTTTCTCAGATAGTCCAGAAATTCAGTTCAAAAGTATTTGTGTGTGCACGCGCGTGTGTACACTGAGTATATGCTCAGGCATATTTCAGAGATATTGCAGATTCAGTTTTCAACCACCACATTAAAGCAAGTACCACAGTAAAGAGAGTCACACAAACATTTCAGGGAGGCGGGGATAGGAAGCTGATAGCATTGATGATTGTGTAATTCCACTCAATGGGGTTTAATAACAGAAATGTATGTGCATAGATATATTGGATTGCGTAAGATAGGTCAATAAAACTATTGTTTTAAAACAGAATGAAACAATTCTAAAAAAAATAAAATAAGAGATTGAATTTAAAATTTTTTCCCATTTTCCAGTGCATATAAAACTTAAGTTTACATGATTCTGAAGTCTATTAATTATATAAGGAGCCCTGTGGGTGGCATGGCTCCAAGCTGCCTTGCTAACCAGTCAGCCCTCTGAAACTAAGGGAGAAAGATGAGGCTTTCTGCCCCCACAGCCACAAACACCCAGTTCCACCCTGTGCTAGGGGATGACTAAGTCAGAGCCAAGTAAATGGCAGTGACTTTAGGGCTTGGGGGTTTAGTTACGTATACAATAGCAATATGAAAAAGTATGGAATATTGTAAGAATGGCCAAAACATGACAGACACGAAGCACAAATCGCCCGAACTATAATTTATAAATTATCAAGTGTTCATGAGGGAGGAGGGTAGGGGGAGCAGGGAGGGAG